AAGTTGGCTGACTTGCCCAAGTGATTATCAAAGAGCTTGGCCTTGAAGGTCATATCCGAGGCCTTGGGGAACATGCATTCCTCCTCTAGGATGGACATGATCCCCATGGGCTGGGAAGAGAAGACCTTGTTGGTCATAGTGAATGCCAAGCACAACCCAAGTGCCCAACTTTGGGGTCCCTGGCAAGCTCCAACTGGAAGGGCCCTTCCCCAGCAGCCCCTTCAGCCCCCAGAAGCCCTGGGGGGAGGTGGCACCTTCTCAATGAGGTCAATGCAGGCCTGGAGGTCCATGCCGAAGTCGATGAACTCCCACTCAATCCCCTCCTTCTTGTACTCCTCCTGCTCCAGCACGAACATGTGGTGGTTGAAGAACTGCTGCAACTTCTCATTGGTGAAGTTAATGCAGAGCTGCTCAAAGCTGTTGAACTGGGGAAGGAGAGAGGAGGTGGCCAACGGGGTCAGCTGGGTCAGCTCAACACCCGACAGGGTCAAGAGAACACCCAAGATTAGTGGGTCAACCTGAGACCCAACAGGATCAACACAATGGCCAGTAGTATCAATGAAGTCAACTCAACACCCAGCAGGGTCAAAACAAGGCCCAAAGAGGGTAAGTCTCCACTAGAATTCCCCCTGAAGCTTCAGAAGATCAGTTCAACACCCAGTTGGATCAACCCAACCCCCAAGAGGACCAATGCCACTGCCTTGCCACCCCCTCAGTCCTCACATCAAAAATCTCGAAGCCAGCAATGTCCAGCACACCGATGAAGTACTGCCGTGGCTGCTTGGTGTCCAGAGAGTTGTTGATCCTCACCACCATCCAGTTGAACATCTTCTCATACACAGCCTTGGCCAAGGCCCCAATGGAGTAGTACACCTGCTGGACATTCTGCCCCTTGGTGACGTACTCATTGCCCACCTTCACACGGGGGTGGCACAACCCCTTGAGAAGATCAGCTGAGTTCAGCCCCATCAGGTAGGCTGACTTGTCAGCATCTGTGGAGTGTGAAGAAGGCATGCTGTCAGGTCCCACCTCACTTGGTGACCCCAAAATCTATGTCATCCCCCCCCACCTGCTTCACCTTCAGTGCCGTCTGGTTCTGCCTGCTCTTCCCTTTGCTTCTGCTTGAACTTCATGTTGCCAAAGTGCATAATGGCACCTGTCAGTTTGTAGACACCGGCCTTCTCCTCGGCAGTGAAGCCCAAGACATCAAAAGCGCTCTGGTGGGCGGGTGGAGGCAGGTGGGAGAGGGCCTTGCCACCCACTCTGTCCAGCTGAGGTCACAGCCGTCTGCTGGCCAGCATTTGTGTGTCCCTCTGCCCTTCCAACTTGTCAGTCTGTCCATCCAAGGACTCATCCATCCATGGACTCATCCATCCACCCATCTGAGTACTGCATCCATCCATCCACCCACCCATTCACAGACTCATCCATCCATGAACTCATTCATCCACCATGAACTCCATCCATCCATTCATGGACTTATCCATCCATTTGAGGACTTGTCCACCCAAGGACTCATCTGTCCACCCAAGGACTCTCCCACCTGTTTTTATCTCCACCCATAACCTCCTCCACCGACACCACTCTCCTCTCCTACCTTCTGTCCCTCATCCTGCATCATCCCATGTGACCAACCCACCATCTCCCTTGCCCTCCACCCTTCCCATCCTCCAACTCTCATCCCTACATTCCTCCCCTCCTAAATTTCTCTGCTCCTTCTTGGGACAATTGAGGGTGATTTGGGGCTGTTTGGCCACTGGAATTGCTCAATTTTTTGTCTCCATCCTGGGCCACCACGGAGCAGAGAAATTTAGGAGGGGAGGAAGGAGAAGACCCAAGGCCAAGCACCCAACTCACCCAGCAGCTCTGGCTTCTTGTTGGAGAGGATCTGGTAGAAGATGTGGTAGTTCCTCTCAGCCTTCAGCTGGAAAATTACACGGGACTTTTCCAGGAGATCTGGGGTGGGAATGGAGAGAAAGACGGTAGAGGCTGGGATTAGGAGATGATGGATTGAGACATGGAGAGATGGATGGAGACATGGAGAGATGGATGGAGACATGGAGAGATGGAGAGATGGAGAAGAAGGGATGGCTGGATGGTAGGATGAGGAGACAGAGGGATGAGGAGGTGGAGGTGAAAGGTCAGATGGATGGTGGGATAAGAAGATAGATGGATGGATGGACAACAGGACAGTGTCTCACAAATCCATCCAGAGAGGGCATCCATCAAGGGACATGTGGAAAAGGAGGGAAGGAAGAAGAGAGGGAGACACAAGATGGAAGGACAAAAAAATGGAAGACAGAGGATCCGATGGATGGTGGGTTGAAGAGTTGGAGATGGAGAGCTGACTGGATGGAGTGAGGGATGGATGGATGGACGGATGGAGCTCATGGATGGATGCATAAGTCCATAGATGGATAAGTCCTAGCATGGATGAATAAATCCATGAATAGATGAGTCCATGGAGGGATGGATGAAGGACTGCCAGACGTTCTTTCATGGAGCCTCTCAACTCACTCACAGGTCTCAATGTCAGCTGATGCCAACTTCCCGGTGGCCCCAAAATGGATTCGGATGAACTTCCCCTGGAAAAGCAGTGGCAGGAGGTGGAAACCTCCCAGCAGACCCCATACTATAGACCCCAGCCCACAGACTCTGCCCCATAGATCCCACCCCCAACACTCACGAATCGAGATGAGTTGTCATTGCGGAGGGTCTTGGCATTGCCAAAGGCCTCCAAGGCAGGGTTGGCCTGTATGATCTGGTCCTCCAGGGTGCCCTGATGGGATGGAACAATCCTGGGTGTGCATGCCATTGGGGTACACTCAATGCTGGGGGTGCGTGACCTGAGGCCCCACCTTGCTGCTGTTGGTTGCCTCCTTCTTGCGGTCGCCGATGGCAGCAATGCTGGCAAAGTACTGGATGACCCTCTTGGTGTTGACTGTTTTCCCCGCCCCAGATTCTCCACTAGGGTGGCAACAGTGAGATGTTGGAGAATATCATGGTGGCTCCTTTATCACACCCCAGCACTATGGGGCAGCATCAAGCAGGGACAGACTTACGTGATGAGGATGGACTGGTTCTCTCGATCTGCCAAGAGATGAAAGGAGTCAGGTGGGAAGAAGTTGGGAGGCATCTTTGGGATCTTGGGGTTGGGATTGAGGATCTCCATCCTCCCAGGCGAGGGCAAGGTCTAGGTCAGGATCCAGTGTTTGGGGTAGGGTCTTCTAGTTTGAGGTCCCCAGAGGAGGTCCCTACCTGTCAGCATGTTCTGATAGGCATTGTCAGAGATGGAGAAGATGTGTGGTGGAGCTTCACTCCGCTTCTTTCCCCGATAGGCAGCCACCACCTCAGCGTTGTAAACAGGCAACCACTTGTAGGGGTTGACCGTCACACAGAAAAGTCCTGAGTAGGTCTGGAGAAAGGGTCAGGTCCGTCAGAGCCTGAAGGTGCCACCCCACCAGATGTGGACATCCTAGGTCTAGCTGGCCCAAGGGATGTGGGGAAGGGGCCTCATGATTTTGAGGGGCCAAAAGGGGATAGAGATGGGACATCTTGGGTCTGGGTGGCCCACAACATCCAGAGATGGGACATCTTTTGTGGACCAAAGGATCCAGGGGTGAGACATCTTGTGTGTCACATCGAAGGGGCTATTAAAGGGATATCTTGGATCTCGGTCAGGGGATGGGATATCTCAGGTCTAGGTGACCAAAATGGTTCAGGAGTGCAACATCTTGGGTCTGGGTGGCCCAAGGGGGCTGGAGAAGGTTCACCAGGTTCTTGGTGTCCCAAAGTCCATGGAGAAGCTACACCACCAGGTTCTAGGGGGCCTATAGACCCTCTGGAAAGCCCACCTGGTTCTAGGTACCCCAAGAGTTTTAGGGAAGGGTCACTAGCTTCCATCCACACCTTAGGCTGTGGGGAAGACCCTGCCCAGTTCCCAGGTGCCCCAGGTGCTTGTGGGAGGACTCACATAGATCAACCAAGAGGCGTAGCGCTCCTTGAGGTTGTAGAGGACAGCAGGCTCATGGAGGAAGGTCAGCATGGCCATGTCCTCGATCTTGTCAAACTTGGGGGGGTTCTGCTGGTGGATGTCAGCCTCCTTGACCGTCATCGTCTAGGGGGGATGGGAGGACAAGGGGGTCAGGGTTGTGGGATGTCCCATAGTTTGGGGGACACCCTGTAGGTGAGGGGTCTTCCATGGGTTGTGGGGGAATCTTCTATGGGTTTTGGGGCACCCCTCATGAGTTGGGAGGTCTTCAATGGACCTAGTCTCCCCCTCCTTGCTTTACACCCCCAAAAACCTTCAAACCCCCCCCTCCTTTAACCCATTCCCCATTAAATTCACCCCATTAACCCCTCCCTCCTTAACCCTTCTCCCCCCAGCTTCCCACCAACCCCTCACCCTCCATGAAGCCCAACCCCCTTTCATCCCCCACCACCAATCACCCCTCATGCCTGCACCCCCATCAAACCCTCCCATCCTTAACTTCATTATCCCCTCACCCCGATTAACCCTTTATTCCCTGTGACCCCTTGCCTCCCTGCCCTCACCCTCCTCTACCCTCTCAGTTGCCCACCTCTCCCAGCTCGGTCTGGACGGTGACCTCACCGCCTTGGCGCCCCATCACCCGCCCCCGCACAAACTCCTCACGGGGGTGGGGGACGAAGCACTCGCTGCGAGGGTCGAAGGGTCTGGTCTGGGATGCCAGCCGCTCCCGTTCCCCTGGCCTCAGGAAGGGAGCTGCTGCCCCCAGTGCCGCCAGCACTGCATCTCCCATCCTGCCCCACACAGACAGGGGCCTCACATCACCTGAGGGGCTGTGGGCCTCTGGCTGCAGGGTCTCACCCCTCACCCCATGGCCCCGCACAGCCCCATTGACCACAGCCCCATTGCCATGCATGGACTCCCATACCTGTGCCCAGACCTCTATAGCTGTGGCAGACTCTATAGCCAGACATAAAGCCTTATGGCTGTGCACAGCCCCATGTGTTGGACCCTATAGATGTGCAGCAAGCCATGTAGCCCACTGCAGACCCATACAGTCACACACTGTCTCATGCACAGACCACTGTAGTAATTCAGGAACCCCTATAGCCATGCAGGGACCCCAATAGCAAAGTACAGACTGTCATAGTGGTGTATGGCCGCATGCACAGAACCCTGTAGCCATGCATCTCCCCATGTATTGAGCCCTATGACAGTGCACAGACCCCCTATAGCTATGGGCAGACCCCTACAGTCATGCAAGGACCCCAGTACCCATGCACCCCGGATGTACAGACTCCTATAGTGATGCAGGGATCTCCACAGCCACCCACCGACCCCTGTAGTGATGCATGGACACCCGTAGCAAGGCACAGACTCCTATAACCATGCACAGAGCCCTGTAGTGATTCAGGGATCCCTATAGTGATCCACGGAGACACAAAGCAGTGCAGGGACCCCTACAACAATGCAGGGAGCCCTACAGTCATGCACAGCCCCCCATGCAGAACCCCATAGCAATGCATGGCCCCCCTGCAGTGATGCACAGACCCTATAGGGACACATGCACCCTTATAGCAACACCCCCCCCAAAGTGCCAGTCCCCATACTGCACCAGGACACCACCCTCACCTGGAGTCTGTGGATCTAGCAGGTACGATGAAAGGAGCTGGAGGGACATGCAGAGGGTGAGGGGCTGCACTCCAAAGATCCCCTGAACCCCATAGCCCCTGTAGATACTCTTTGCCCCATAGACCCGTTTATGCCCCATAGATCCCTTTGCCACATAGACGATCCCACGTGTCCCATAGCTCTGCTATGTTCCACATAGGCCCCCAGGGTGCCCCATAGACCACTGGTGTCCCATAGATCCCTGTGCCCTCATAGATCTCTGTGCCTCACAGTTCCTCTTGGTGCTTCTTAAATAGTCTGTACCCCATAACCCCACCTTTATCCCACATATCCCCGCACCCCAGAGAAACCCCGTGTGCCACATAGCCCCCCATGCCCCATAGCCCCCAGAGATTCCTGTGCCACATAGATCCCCATGTGCCCCATAGCCATCCTGTGCACCCCATAGCTCCCCATACCCCCCTTCAACCCCTCATATCCACATCCCACATCCCTGCTGTGCCCCACACCAGCTCGCTCTCTATCCCACACCAACACCTATGCCAGCCCCGCAGCCCCACAGCCTTTATAGGCCATAATGGGGTGGGGAGGGGAGGA